ACCTATGCTACCTATCTAGCTAGAATGGCAGGCTTATGTCACCATGGCCAGCTTGTTTGTTGAGATGGGGAGTCTCATTAAGTTTTTTCCAGAGCTGGCCTTAAGCTATGCTGGGCTTATAGGCATGAACCATCTCACATTGTCTATTGTATCACTTTTCTTCTTTTTTTCCTTTCTTCTTTCCTTCCTTCCTCCCTCTCTCCTTGCTCTTCGGTTATAAATCAATGGTAAGGAACACAACGTATATCACCACCATGCACTCACACACATACATAATACACAAAGGTATTACAAGGCAACAGTTATCCCTATAAGAGCAATGTACTTCAATTTTGTATTCAAAACTATTTCCTTTTTTAAATTCTAGTTGTACCCACTAGATTGATTTCCCAATCATCTATTGCATTTGACTAGCAGTTTCCAAAAGCCAGATGTATTGAGAAAGCTTCTTAAAATGACACGTTTGTTTGCAAAAGGAGTCAGGGCCAGGCTTGATCTTTTAAGGCTCCTAATAATGATTTGTTTACTTGCACACTGTGTGTTTCCTAGGCCACACCAGCCTGAGGGGAAAACTGGGATCAGACCCACAGCACAGACTGTTCCTCTTTTACCGTGTTGGCTGTCCTCGGCTTTTCCAGAAGTGCCAGCGACAGCCCCCTGGACCCTTCCTATATGAGAATGGCCAGGAAGCACTGCATACATGCTCTCAGAGTTGTGTCCCTCAGTGTCCTTCTTGGCCCAGGCTTGCTGCTGGGATCATTTGCTGGTTCTTCTGATGGGGGCTGTCTGTGGTTGGGCCACCAAAGCTGAGCTTCTGGAGGAAACTTGAATGACTTGGTGATGTCTCAGCCCTGGGCCTGGAGGGGGCGCTGTTTGCCTCACATCGCTACTGTGGCTCCTGATGCCATCATCACTATGCGCCATAACTAGAAAGAACACAAAACCCCATAAAGGAGATTCTTCTTACCCAAACTTACACATGACCAAGGGCAGTGGCCTGAGAAGAAGCTTCACCCTATACCCACAGGCCCTGTGTTTTTCTCCAGCTTTGGGCCTCATCATCAGGCCAAGTTCAGGTACCATTACTCTCATCCAAACTGGCACATTCTTCCCTCCCCAGAAGGCATGTTGGTTCCTTCCTACAGCTTAGTGTCTATGCTTACAAATATCTCCTTCTTATTGTGAATATAGATTTCTGCTAGCCTCATATTTATTTGACCACTTTGCTTCCCAAGTAGTAGGAGTCACATGGCCAGAACTCAGGTTCTGTTGCAACGGAAATGATGATAATGACAATGGTGATGATGATAATGACACATCTCTTATGTATCTGTATCATACGTAATTCAACCACTCCATGTGTTACTATTATTGTCCTTATATTACAGAGGAGAAAATTGTGGTTGAGGAGGGTAAAATAGGTTGATGGTCACATGGCTGGCAAGGTACAGAGCCAGAACTCCTGGACCTTGCTCAGCTGCTCCTCTACAACTTAGCCTGGGCATTGTGCCTGCCTGCGCTGGACCTCCTGGCATCCCTAGGCCTCTGCCCACTCTGTTTTCATCCTTTTTAAGCCCCTTTCCCCAGTGTCACCATCATGGTCCCCAGTTAAGTTGCCAACCTTATCTGAGGACCTCCAAGTTGGTGGAAGCCTCTAGGTCTTCATCCTCCCTCCTCCTCCATCCTTCCATCACTCCCTTGGGCTTCCTGGGAAGTTGGGTAGGAGACATTGTCTGAAGTAAAGACCCCCCTCTCCAACCCCAGGCTTCTCAAGATTTTCCATGGAGCAAGCCACTCTCATCTTCCTGGCTCCCTCCTCAGGTTCAGTTCTGCAGCCTGCTCCCAAAAAGGCTAGCAGCATCCTGCGTGCCATGGTTAAAATTGTGCCTGATCCTGTGGGTTGTTTCATTGAATAAAGAATTCAACTCTGGGCTTTAAATGCCATAGAAAAAGAAAAAAGTTACTGTCTTTTCAGAATGCCCATTGTTATTTGTCCCCAGAGCTGTCCCCACCCAGGGTTCCTTTTCTACTTGAACTGACACATGGAGCTGCCAGATAACTACAGCTGCAGAGTAAATAACAGGGGTGTGATTTCTTTTCCTCACTCGTCGCTTTCCCAGCTTTACCACATCAGAAATGAAAGACTGATGTGTGGGCTCAAAGCCAAGGTCTCAATAATTTGACATATGAGAGAATGAAATGTAGGAACTTTATGATCCTGTTTGACTATGTGGATTTTTTTTTTTCAGTACAAGAATTTGAACTCAGAGTTTTGTACTTGCTAAGTAGGTGTCCTTCCATTTGAGTCACACCTCCAGCCCTTTGGCCCTGCTTATTTTTGAGGTAGGGTCTCACTTTTTGCATAGCCACCTAGATCAGACCTTGATCCTCCTATTTTATACTTCCTGCCAAAGACGATGACAGGTACACACCATTATACCCAGAGTTTTCTGCTGAAATAGGATCCTACATTTATTTTTTAAAATTTTTTAATTTTTTTTTTTTGCCCTCGAACCATGATCTTTCTCATGAGCTACCACACCCAGTTATTGGTTGAGAAAGAGTCTTGTGAACTTTTTACCCAACCTGGCCTTCAACTGTGATCCTCCTGATATCAGCCTCTAGAAGAGCTAGGAATACAGATATGTCACCTGGCTTGGCTTCCATGCATTGTTTTTAATCATGTGTCTCTGTACGAAGGCAGCTCTGCCCCTAACTAACCCCATCTGTGATGTCTCAGTGTCTCACTTTCACATCGAAGCATTCTGAGTTCCCTGATAGTTTTCAGGACTCCTTTTTAATCACCACTGATATCATTTTTCAGGTCAGGTAATTAAGGGAGTTGTGTGGGTCTTTGAATAAAAATGATCCTTCATAAAATGTTCACCACAGAATTGTTTTCTGGAGCAAGCTTCTGCCCAGCACATCCAGCAGAATCCCATTTACAGAACATCTGACTTGTGGCCAGCTTTTAAGTGACAGTTTTACTGTTTAGAGCCATGCTGCCCAGAGGTCACGGTTTCTAACAACATAATCACCCATTCCCTCCTCCACAGATCTGACAGGGAAGAACTCATTTGAAAAATCACAACTTCTCTTGGATTAAGTGTTTTGTTGTCCCCCCCCCCTTTTTTTCCTGTAAGAAATATATTTACATGATGTTAATGATGATAACCGACGGGTACTTTGAAACATACTCCAGGTGATAGCACTCCCCTGCCTCAAACTCTTCAGTCTCATCCTGTTCCATTCTCTGGATCACACTGGTCTTTGCATGCTGTTCCCTCAACACCTGGAACACTTCACCTCCCCCACCCTCACCCCTTCCCCTTCCTTGCCTTGTAACTCCTCTCAGTCATCCCTTCTTCAGGGAATTGTCTCCCAACCTCCTTGATGAGGTCAGGTCCTTCTTTATGAAAACTCCGAGGTGCAATTTGAGGTTGGTTTGGAGTCACATGGGCACCAGGAACAGTTCTGATGTTGTTCATGCAGCCATGGGGGTAGCTCACTGAGTTCAGAATATCCAGGCCCTGGGTTTGAAGCTGGATCTCTCTACCTTTCAGGACACTGGGATAAATAAGTAGTAACTCATTGAGAGAATGAACAGGCCTGACAGGACCCTCTGTTCACAGAGCTTGTGGAGTTTGAAGGAGTGATTGGACCAGGCATGGTGGCACATGTCTATAATCCCACTGAGGCAAGAGGATCATGAGTTTGAGGCCAAGTCCAATACAGGGAGAATCTGTCAAAAAAGAAAAAAAAAAAAAAGGAATGACTTAAGTTAGCACGGGGTCTGTAGGATCAGCTACAAGAGGAAGAAGGCAAAATGGCTTTCGCTTCTGATAAGGAGCTTATGTTATAATCACACATTTGTTCAAATCGTCTTTGTCACCAGCCCAGTTTAAGAAGTAGCAGGAGAAAAGGCTTCCCCCTGATACCCCAGCTTGAAGGATGGCTACTTTCAGCATGGCAAGAAGACCAAGGATCTGTGGGCTTCCACTATCTCTTAGGAGGGAGGATCTTCCTGAGTGTCTCCCATCTTCTAGAACCAGACCACTCCATTCCCCAAGGCCAGGGCCTCTCCATTGCTTAAATCAAGTCCCCCCCACTCCCGCTTTTTTCCCCCCAAGGATGCATCTTTTCTTCTGAGGTGTTCGCCAGAGACAGCTTATTTTCATAGTGGTGGTTGCAGCACTCCATCCTGTCATCCTCATGCTGTGCACCCGGGACTGTGAATTTCGCAGATGTGGGATTTCAAAGCCAAGGTCTGCAGTTCTTAGGCTAGCCTTTCCCCCAGCTTATCACAGCCTCCTAGACCGAGCCAGGCCCTTTTCAAAGCCCCAGTTGGCTGCCTCCTGCTGGCAGGGAGTTCCTTCCAGGCTTCAGTGCTACTGCCAAGGAATGGGGGTGGGGGTGGGGTGGGAAAAGGGAGGAGATCGGATTGGGGGGGGGGGAGTTCTGTGTGTGGGCTATATTGCCCTCTCTCATGGTTGTGCATAGAGGGGGGATTATGAAAATCCATAATTTGTGACACTTGATACCTATCAAAAATGTATTTCCTCACATTCACCTCCTCCCATGAAAGTCTCAGTCTCCTCCATACATTTGTATTTGTTGTTTAATCATACCTCTGACCAGGTGGACTGAGCAAGAAATAGGAAGATAAATGAATCCTGCAGAGAGAGAGAGAGAGAGAGAGAGAGACTTTCATTTAACTTTATCCTACCCCCCCTCGCCCCCCCCCCCCCAGCCAAGGCTAGCTCCCCAAAGCTAGTTTTACTGAGGTTGTTTGCTATAAGCAAAGCAAATTCCCAGAGGTTTCCCAGAGATTGCTGCCATCCTGTGCAAGATGACTGCTCCCACCCTCCCGCCCACCCACCCACTAATAAGACATAATGCCTGTCCTATTTTGGGTAACAATTAAAGGGCCTCCGGGTGAAAGCAGAAAGCTGTTTATTTTTCTGTTACATCACTTTGCCTTCGAAGGCTGCTCTGTGCTCGGCGTTTGCCGGTGATGCAAGCGGCTCTCTTCCTCCAGCAGTTGGATCGTTCCCATCTCACAGCACCTCACAGGTCTCCCCCCCCCCCCCCCCCCCCACCCAGAGCAGTGCACTGCTGAAGAGAGGAGAGAGGAGCTGTTCACGAATCAGCTGCAGGTCCCTGTTTTGAAAAGCCAAGATACAGACAGAGAGAGAGGAAGAAAGGGTGGACTCCTATGTGACCTGTTCTGAGAACAAACCCAGGCACCCTCTGAATTCCAGAAGATCTGTTCATGTGTGGGGCTATTTTTTCGACTGCATGGAATCAGAAAGAAGCAAAAGGATGGCAAATGTCTGCATCCCCCTGAAACGAATTGCTTATTTCCTATGTCTCTTATCTGCGCTTTTGCTGACTGAAGGGAAGAAAGCAGCGAAGCCAAAATGCCCTGCCGTGTGTACTTGTACCAAAGATAATGCTTTATGTGAGAATGCCAGATCCATTCCTCGCTCCGTGCCTCCTGATGTTATCTCACTGTAAGGCCCGTAAGCATTTTGATATTTAATTTTATGATTGAAAAAAATTCCAGCTTGTGGATCTGGGGTTTTGTATATAGTGATGGAAAGGCAGAGAGAGAGAGAGAGAGAGAGAGAGAGAGAGAGAGAGAGAGAGAGATTTCTCTTGCATGCTTGGCGATTTGACAGCCTTAACATTTTGCTGCATTTCCAAATTTTTGATTCTTGATTAACTGCTACTGAACATGCTTAGACACCCCCCCCCCCCCGCCCCCCCTCCCACCGCCGCCCTGCATTTCCCTGGGCATTCATATGAGAAACCTGTAGCAGTTTCATCTGGCTTTCTTACTTCACCTGGGAAGAAGCAGTATCTTACTTCATAAAATAGGGTAAAAATAGTGACTTGGATGCTAAACTGGATTAACATAAGGTTCGTTCTCTCTCTGTGTGTCTTTGTGTTTTTCATGTGTGTTTTGTTTTCTTTCAGATCCTTTGTGAGATCGGGTTTTACTGAAATCTCTGAAGGGAGTTTTTTATTCACACCATCGCTGCAGCTCTTGTGAGAAATATTTATATCATGACTATTTTTTAATACATAGTGGGATAATGATGATAAATAATACAACGGGACTCTTTGGAATATAGTGGGATAAGCCTTTCTAGTAAAAACAAGCTCAATATTAATTTTGTCGCATGTGATGCTATTAATTGAGAAAGATCAGCAGAAGGAAAGGTGATAGGTTTGCTTCTAACTTCCCACCAACGGTGCAGGTTGCTACTTGCCATGGTAAATGTGCTAACCTGTGAGGCTATCTACTCTAATGGCTATTTGTGAAGTTGTTGGGATGTGGTGACAAAAATCCCAATCCCATAGCACTATTTGACTTTCATTTTTAACTTGGGAACTTTGGTGATTTTTGCCCTGGAGTTTTTTCACATTTGTCAATGCAGAACCCAATATAACATATGCGCTCAAGATGTTGCCGCCAGAGAATCTGGTGCAGGCTGCTACTCTGTGTGATTTAGCATGTAGGGGGGAAAAAGAAAACCTTCACTTCTTTCTAGGTAATTCCTTAAACTATCATTTCTCAAGAGACTGCTTTCTCATCTCATCTAATTTATAGAAGGAAAGAATATATTTAATTTAGGGTTAGTGCACAGGATTACTTTCCACTATGTGTTTTGAGTTGATCACAGGGGAATCACATATTTAGTCTGTACCTGCACATATTAATATATATAATATATATATACATATATATTTGGCTGAGAAATCAAATCTCTTCATAGGTGTAATGTAACATGTATAATTTGTTCAGATGTGTAATGTCTGGCAATTGGAGTTCTGGTTCTTAGAGCAATATCACATGGGGGAAAGGTCAAGAGGTCCCAGTAGTATCCGACAACAGTCTTGAGTTGGTAGCTAAAGGGAATTAGTCAATTGTCGATGCACTGAGTTTGGAGTATTTTAACAGCATGATTCAGGACTGGAGTTTTCTGCTTGTTTTTTGGGGTTTGGGTTTGCTTGCTTTCTTGCCTTACTTGGCCATTTTGGCTGTTTGAGATTGTATACACTAAGCAGTAAAGAACTGAAATTGAAGAGCCCAGAGGGAACTGAAATCTCACCTTATCTCTCACTAGATCTTAGACATGTAATTTCGATCAAATGATTCAATCTCAGTGAGCCTCAGACTCCTTCTCTATACACATTTTGAAGAGTTCTTATCGGAGATGAATAAGAAAAATTCTTGGCATGGCATATAAAAAATCCTTATATGTTATATAAAAGTCAAGGCATTTCATTTTGATGTAAAGGTGAAAAAAAACCTAAAAGTCACTAAACATATTGCTTGGGCTGTATGAAATCCCAAAGCTGGCCTATTTCATTAGATTTGCAAACTTGATTGAATGTTTCAACTTATGCAACAATTGTGGCTATGTCCTTCCCCAAGCTTATGTCTCTGAGGAGTCAACAATTGAGTAGATGATTCTCAAGGGGTTTCCCAAGGGCCAGTAGTGTGATTACAATAAGTGTGAATATATTAAACAAATCAAAAAATGATAGTCTTTAGTAGAGAGAAGGGAGAAGTCAGTAATGCTGGGATCTTCCCACAGAATAAGAATTTGCTATACGTGAGAAAGTGATACATTGGCCTTATGCTGCTTATTGGCTAAATAAATGGGTCGCTTAAAAGATATCTTTTTGGTGTACCCAGATACCTCCCTCCCCCAGTATAGATCAAGTTTTAAAAGAAATCTCAGTTATACAACTACTTATATTGTGACATTAGATGTACATCAGCTATAACATCAAAAACCTGGATTGATCTATGTAAACAGTTAGCTTTATTTTTGTTGGGTGGGTGCAGCCATGACAAACCCTGCTGGGCAGTGTTGTAGAAATAGAACCCGGCTGCTGCATGGTAATGTGATTACATGTATTTAGAATCACAGAGGGAAGCCAAGGGATGGGTTTTAAATAGCCCACACCAAGTGTGTGCCATGCCCCTCTGTCCCATGCTCTGAGTTCCTATGGAACATTCCAACCCTTATTTCCACAAGCAGGTCAGGTTTCAGAAATAACAAAAGGGCGAGCAGTCTTGCCCTGGATGTCCTCAGTTAACTCCCATTGGCCAACCTCAGCTGTGTCATGCTGATCTTAGGTAAAACTATTAGGGGTCAACATTGGTCTCTAGTCACCAGGATCCTGTTCCTAAGGCCTTTGTTCTCCACCCATCCTGCGCATCACTCCCTGCCTGATTCCTTCTATCCTCAAGGAAAGGTCAAACAAGATCATTTTCATTGAGTAGGAAAGTAACAATAAGGATCTGAATATGAGCTATATCACCAGATAATAATTGTGGGAAAACTTGTACCACAGATAGAAAGAGGGTACATGAGTGAGACAAGGCCATCCAAGTGCCCTTGAACTCCCACTTGAACTGCCAATCTGCCTCTGGAACCTTAAGAGCCCAGTGCTACCATTTTTGGGGGTCTAGATCTCATCTGTTATTGCTTGGGAGTAGCTATGAATAATGGCATTTGTATCCACAGATCCTCAAATGTGCCCCTTAGTTTGCCAAGAGAGAAACTTCGGAATCAATTCTGTTGGATCCATGTGGAAGGCAGTTGGTTTCATCTTCTCATTTTTTTTTTTTTGTTTGTTTCTTGAAAGGAAAAAGAAAGATCCCATTCCTATCACTTACCATAGCCATCTGAGAATGTAGTTATGGCCCAAATGCATCCTCAAGCCCTTCTGTAGAAGTACTGTTCATAAGGTCAGCCTGGGATACAGAGGAAAACATACGTAGTACCTCATTCCACACAGTGTTTCAGAAGAAATCCTGGTAGGCCGTGGCTGGCAGTTTGTGTTGGAGAACAAGAAAAACAAAAGCCCACACTGCATGGAAAGGAGAGAAAGAATAAAAACAATCCAATAAAAATTTCTCAGATTAGTTGTGAAAAACATTTTCTATCTCACTTATTGTTTTAAAATACACACACAGACACACAGCACACAGACACACACACACACAAAACCCTTTTCCAAGCAAATGCAATTTTATCCATGTTTTTTACAGGGCCAGGTCAGAAATGTAACGAATCAGAATGATTCTGAACTCTAGTTTGCTCTTAGGAATGACAGTGGTACTTTCAGTGATCACAATTAAGAGGTATATGTTTCACACATTCCAGCCTGTTCTGGCACAGCTGCAGGCTGAAGTCCACAGTGATGCAGGACAGGCAAAGACTTGGTGTCAAGAGGATAAAATGTTGCCACATAGCTGTTGGTTGATGGCATTTTAATGAATATGCTTCCTGCAACTCCTAAGAAGGTTCTCCTTGCATGGAGTGAATTTCAAGGGTAGTTTTGGTATCATACTCAGAAAAATTAAGTTAAAATAAAAAAGAGAAACCTATTAGAATTCGATATGGCCAGGAGGTGGAGAGGGGGGAACTATTCCAGTGAGATTTGGTCTTATTTGAAATACAGAATTGATTTTCTAGGGAGAAAATAGCAATTTTTTAAAATAAATCCACAATTGTCACATAAATCCATAACCACCGAAAATTAAAAACTAAAACAAAAAGCAAAATAGAATGAACCAGAAATAAGCCCATCTTTACTAAGGCTTTAATCATTCAGTCCTTGAAAATAATTGTCAAGAGGAAAATATCATGGCCTCTCTTACCTTAAAGAAATTGCCAGAGGGGTGCCAGTGGCTCACACCTGTAATTCTAGCTACTCAGGAGGCTGAAATCTGAGGGCGACAGTTTGAAGCCAGCCCGGGCAAGAAAGTCTATGACATTCTTATCTCCAATTAACCACAGAAAAACCAGAAATGACACTGTGGCTCAAGTGGTAGACTGCTAGCCTTGAGCAAAAGGAAGCCAGGGACAGTGTCTAGGCCCAGAGTTCAAGCCCCAGAATCAGAAGGAAAAAAAAAAAAGAAAAAGAAAAAGAGGGAGAGAGAGAAAAAAAGAAAAAAAGACTGTCATTTTTTGAGTCACACCCCCACTTTGCTGGTTAATTAGAGATAAGAGTCTGATGAACTTTCCTACCCCTGCTGGTTTTAAACCATAATCCATAGATCTCAGCCTTCTGACTAGCTAGGCTTACTGTATGACCCACTAGTACCAAGCTCTATCTCTCTTGACAAGTATGAGAAAAGCTGGGTGCTCTTCAGTGACTAGAGAAGCCATACCGCTCAGCTGTGAGGTATTGGAGAAGTTGTTAACTGGTTGTACATAGATATGTATATTCTGGGTTTTGCCTAGTGGATGCTCTCACAATGATGGACTGAAAAGGAAATTTTCAATGTTATTTTGTCTACATTTTGCCCAAGATCCAGAAGTTTGTTTGGTAACTTCTTAATTAATTATGGTAGCTGTGTACAACATTTTTTTGGGTTGTTTTTATTTTTCCTGAAAGCACATTTCATCCTGCTACCTCCTCAAGCAAGAAGCCCAACTATCAGGCCCCTTACATCCATACCCACTTCCAGCTGGACAAGTCCCCTCTGCAACAGCGTGAGACTACTGCCTCTTCCTCCTCCTCTTCCCCAGCTCTAAAGCTCATTGAAGCACAGTCAGCACACTTCCACACCCCCCTCCCCACCTTCAGTTCCTGTCCCAGCCACCTCCATCACCATGGTCTTTCCTGTGTCACCTTTGTGCTTGGAAAACTTTAATGGTGCTTATGAACAGAGAAAATCTGAGCACCGCGATTTGTGTGAACAGCACTTGGCATACTTCTATTGGGGCAGAGTTTTCACTCACAGCATTGACATTACCTCCATGCTCTGCACCCTCCAGCTCCATCTATACTAGAGTGAAATATCTCATTCTGTGACCTGAACTGTCACAGTCTACGGACTTCTCTGTGGTTTGTAGTATTCCCTGCCACCCTCTAGGACGTTTGTGCTTGTATCTGTCCCAAGTCTAACATGGAGGATCCTCAGTAGACCATGGTGCTGGGAAACAGCCTAGACACCATAAATCCAGACTCTGCTCCTATGTATTTGCCGAATCCATGCACTGTCCATCGAAGACTCTGTT